AGGAAGTGTGGGCAGTAGCTAAGGACAAAGTTAGCAAGGAAAAGGTTTAACTTGAAACATTATTAGGCCAGGGCCAAATAGTCTCTGGAGAGCAGGAGTGGATGTTAAGATGCTATACCCTCCCCTCCCACATCTGGGCAAGATGGTGAGGCTCTTCTCCTCCACGTTAAGTCAACAAAGCAAGAATTCAGTAGCACATCCTGATTCTATAAAAAAAAAATCAGGCAATTTTAGCAGTGACATAGCATAAGGAATAAGCTAAGCTAACTTTGAGGCCAATTAGATCTGGGTTTACAATCTATGTGACCCTGGATATGTCTCGTAATAGAACTAAAGTCTCTATTTCTCAATCTATGGGAGAAGGATTATAGTACCCATCTCCCTGGGTGCTAGTGAGGATTATTGATAACATATGTAACTTCGATCAGTAAATTTAAACTATTGGTACAAGTACTAAGTAGTAAGTAAACTTGTGATATTCAGAGCGGATTTTTTTAAAGGAACGTAAGTGATTTAAAAAACAAAGGTAAATAAAATGTTTCTTTAAACCATTTTGATTTCTGGAATATCAGTAAATTCCTATTTAGTTTTTCTCGAGAAGTATTGTTTAATCTGAGAAACGAGAAAGGTTAAAAATTATTCTGAAAGTCCAACCAAAACCCTCTGGAGATAGCCAATAATGATAATGATTTAATTCAGGCACTATCAAAAAGAACAGGCAGGCTTTTCTTAAAGCATATAAGATTTTAAGTAGAGTATAATGGATTCTTGCAATTTTGAACTCCTTTACAATTTAAATCTCTATTTATCACATTTTAAAGCTCAAAAGTTAAGTTAAGTTATTTCCCCATTAAAATCCCTGAAATGCTTTTAGGTAACAATTTTTTAATAGTGTACCGCTTTGTTGGATTTTTTGTGAGTCCAAATAAAATAAAACTCTGTATTCTCCTCCTAGGGATCCAGACTGCAGGTAATGTGTCCCGTACTGGTCGATCAATCTTCGGTAGGCACCGTAGTCATACAGAGAGGGAAGGTGGGAGAGTTCCTTCCAGAACGGCTCAGCCAGTTGTAAAAATTCTGGATTGTTATTAATGAACTGAGCCACTTCAACGGTGTTCTGAATAACCAACAATTGATAACTCTATAGGAAGAAGAAAGAGTAAAAGAAGTGTTATGTGGAAGGTAAAAAAGAAATGGAAATAGTTCCCTGCTCAATTCTCCATCAACAGCCACCTCCAAACAACCTAGTCTATATGAATTTTTATTTTCTATGCATGACGAGGTCTCTTCTGGGCCCACTCTCTTGAAGCAATCTGAGAAATTTTTGGAGAATAATATTTAAGCGATGCCACAGTAATTTCTTACATGACCTCTAAAACCCCAAGATCAAGTTGTTATGCCTTCCTCAAATAGAAAAAGAGAATCAACTCATCAACTGCCAATAATCTCACAAATAAGTATATAAAATAATGTGTACCTAGCGTCCACATCTTGACAATGACTTATAGGTAGAGTGACTGTGTAATTTATCTCCCATATTGATGTATTTACAGGTTAAGCTACTTTATAGTGAGATCTTCTAAATGTCTCCTAAGCATCTTTCAATGATATCCAAGACAGACCACAGATCTGCCTTATACTAAAACCCCACTATGGGAATAATATAATATGGAGATGGTAAATGCTTTTACAGCTCATATGCCCACAATCAGCTTCTTAGTCATAAAATAAATAAAATCAATATTCCTTATACCCCCCTTGTGTGGTATAAGGAACTTTATTAATCAAGTTACTGACTTTAAGAATGAGATGAAATGTGCAGATTGTGAATAATGATCAGCCTGGAAACTTCTTCAGCAGTAAGTGTATATCAGTTAGCACAATTCATCTCTGCTATTCAGTTTCTCAAGATGAAAATTTCAGTATCTTAAAGCAATGAAGTATTTAAAAATAAGTCCTTTAACTTCCTCAGAAGAAAATTTTGGTATTTCAAAAGTAACAAAGTATTTTTAAAATCTTCTAGTTTCATGCACCTTCTAAAAAGACTCTAGCATTTGCAATTAGGAAGCATATATAGGCATTAATTGGATTTTTAATTATATGTAACACTTAAAATGGTATCATCAGTGATTATGAATGAGAAATTTAGAATAGTTTAAAACAGAACATTTCAAAGTAATAAGATTTTTTAAGATTTTCAAATAATGACAAATACTTTAATGAGAAAATAAAAGGTATAAATATATTATCAAAAAGAATTAAACAATATTGTAACTTTTAAAGAAATACATCGCATTTTGTCTTAAAGGAGGTACTGTTGCCCTAATTTAAAAATGAAAGCTGATCCTTTTGATAAATATACTTTTGTTACTGTGAGCAATACTTAAAACCAGTAAAATATGGAAAAATTAGCTGATATTTTGTACTAACCTTTTTCTTATGGATTTCATCGGTATTTGAGGTATAACTGTGTGAAGCAGATGATGAAGACCTAAAAAAGGAGCGCTTCCTACTAGATGACGTATGTTCTGATGACGTATGTTTTACATAAGACCAACTACTGTTGTAAAATTCATAATTAAAATCATTGTTTACTTTCACCTACAAAGAAAACGAAAGATTTTGCCATCACCAAATTAAGGCCTTGGATATACCCACGAAATTTTTGTCATGGATACTTTCTTCAAACAACCTTCCCAAAAAGACAAAGCTCTTCATTGACACAAAACAAACGTGACTCTCATTAAGACCAGGCCTGTATGAACATAAGGAAAGAGTACATTCTACAATTACTCTTGGTTAAATAGGAGACAGTGTATCAATAATGGTAATCCCAAGGGATTCACTAAACACATTTGTGTACAAACAATTTCTACCTTCCTTTAATGTCAGCCTTTAGCCCAGAAGTGAGCAAATTAACAAAGATACATTAACAGACAACAACAAAGCATTTAGCTCTTGATTTTTCATCTAATAAAGGGAAACAGAGTTGCAAATAGGTGACACGAAGCAATTAGACCTTTTGAACTTTGTTTTGGAATGCTCTATGTCTGTAGTCCCCAACACCCTGGCTGCAACCCGGTAGTGGTCTGCAGCCTGTTAGGGACTGGGCTACAGAGCTTCCCCCCACACCCCACCCCTATCCATGGAAAAATTGTCTTCCATGAAACTTAGGAATTGGAGGAGGGAGACCCACACAACAGGAGGTGAGTGGTGGGCAAGTGAGGGAAGCTTCATCTTTATTTACAGCTGCTCCCCTCCCCATCACTCAGATAACTGCCTAAGCTCCGCCTGCCTCCTATGGAAAAATTGTCTTCCATGAAACCAGTCACTGGCACCCAAAGGGTTGAAGATCGCTGCTCTATGTGATCCAGTAGTGAATTTAACTTTCTAATTCTGTTTGACTTGAAGAAATGCTAAAACTGGATTTTTTTTCCTGTGCTAGGTGGTAAAAGGCCATCCCAGAAGAATTTTAAAGTAGACAATAGATTAGTCACATGTGGCTAACTGAGAAGTGACAGCTCCAGCTTTCATTGAAGAGAAAAACATTCATTTATCTTTTATTTTACTCTAGATCAAGTGTCAAAATGAAATGGCCACAAGGGGCTGGCAAGTAATATAAATGTTACAAACATCCAGTGGAAGGCATGGTGATAAAATAGTGAGCACATACTCTGTCTAAAAGGGACAATTCACAAATCCTTCAGACAGTCACCATATGTAACTACAGGTTGTAGTATTGATAGATTTTCTGATTTTTTTCAAGATATAAATCTGAATCATATGTAAAAATCTCTCAAAATTATAGGCAACTAATTTTCTAAAAATGTCAGTCCCTGTGGGAATTAAACAAAACATGCAAGAAGACTATCTCTCATAGTGTCTGTTCTACATAAATATTCAAATTGGGAACTCTCCTTCCATAAGCATTTGTGTTTGTATTATATATACATACACATCTGTGTTTGAGATCAAAGCATAAATAAGCACGGAGAAAATTGAAGAGATAGAAATGGTACACTTCTTAAAAGAACTAAAATGAAAGAAAAATGACAGTATTGATGCTTGTGAAGACAAAATATACATGTTGTCACATTAAATGAGAAAGGGGGTAAAAGTGTGAAAATCCTGTTAACTACAAGCATGCAAGTATACGCCCAGTCAAAAAGACTAGAAAGAAATACATGAAAATGCTGGAAAATATGATATGACTTTTATTACTACCCCATGTTGAAAATTAGGCATGCATGCTAAAAAAGATAAGAAAGATAAGAGGATAAGAAAAGATGGATTTAATCAGACCTTTTATTAGAGCATTATTTTTATTACATTATGAAATTGGTTTGTTAAATAAGAAGACATTGTTCAAAGTGCTAGTAGAGATTTCTACAGTCACTAGATAGGGTCTCAATACTATTTAGTTTTAGATAAACACAAAATTTAGTTTTTTATTTCTTTTGAGAAAAGGTATCTCTCTTTCAGTGTGAAAAAAATTAGCCTATTTTCCCCTATCTTTAGATCCACAATTCAAATATTTGGTTCCTGATTTATGCAACTAAGCTTCTTAGCTGCTTTAGCTCAGCCTCTCCTCACTCCTATCTACCCTACACATAGCTGCAGGAATCATCTTTTTCAAGGTAGTATGATTTTATTAAATTTTCTTTAATTAATACTCTCCTCCTTCCAGCTTAGATCCTGGATTCTCCCAGACTGATCCTTCCTCTGAAATCACAATTTCAAACATCCTACACTCTGATATCTCTTATTCTTCTAACCCTCATATTCTTATTGCCACATCTATTTTTTAACTTCATAGAAACATATTCTTCTACTTATTCTCCCTCTTTCTCCCTATCAATACTTTCAATTTTTTACTTCCTCCCTTAGGCCTCATGGTTCATAATCTCAACCATTCTCTTGCCAGTGCACTTAACTTCCTTGCTTAGATGTCCTGCTATCGTGTTTGCCCGGCAAAAACCCAACCCAAATTAATGCTTGCGGCCAAGCTGCCAGGCACTACTATAGAAAAATCACATAACTGTGTAGATTGGTGCCACTATAAATCCAATCATGATTTTCATCCTCAGTGGAATCCTCAATACCACCACTTCCAGCAGTTTTGTATTTCTCTGGTCAGTTTTCTTTCTCCCTCCCATTCTCTACAATAGCTATTTTAAAATTCTGCAAAATTTTGAAAACTTTTCAAAACTCAATTCCTCATTTCTACAGCCTTTTCCTTCACTCTCAGAAGATGATCTTACCTCTTCTTTACAAACACTCCCACCTTCACACAGAGACCTCTTAAACTGCTGGCTAACAAATCTACAAACTTACTAACATTTATTCCCTTCTCCTCCATAGGTATCCCTCCTCCTGTCTTAGGCTAAATTCTCTGTCTCTTCTCTGTACTACATTCCCTCCAATCTCTTCAAAGGATGGATTAAATTGATTGAGTGTTCCCTCTCCTATCACTTCAATTTTTCTTTCTCTAATGGCTCCTTTCTACGAACACTTACACGTATTCTAACCCAACCAACTAAAAAAAGAAATGCTTTTCCTATTAATATACACTCCCTTTCTAGCAAATGTCCTGCTTTCCCATCTCACCACCTTAAATGAGTTAACTATAATTCATTGTCTTAAATTCCTCACCTCCCGTTCACTCTTCTACCTACAATGTTCTGACTTCCAATAAGGTTGCCAGCATCTCCCTTATTTCACCAGATGGTGAATACTTCTCCCAGCATCATTCAACCCTGTTACTGCTCTCTCTTTTTGGAAACACTTCTCACTTCTGTTGGCTCCCTGGTTTTCTTCTTTTCTCTCTGGATACACCTTGTAAGATTCCTCTAAGGCATCTCCCTCTGTTATATTACTCTTCTACACCATTTCCAATTACCGATCATGTACTAATAACCACCAAATGCGTATCTCCAGTCCAGCTTTCTCCCGAGCAGTGGTACAACCCATAGGTACCTAAACTAAACTTGCCTTCTCCCTGCAGCCGTTATCCATATCAGTGAATTGTATTTCATCTGGCCATTGGTCCAAGTCAGAAAGCCATTCATGTCCCTGACTGCTCACTCTCCATCATCCCCCACATTCAATCATTTGCCAAGTTTCCGTAGGTCATGATCACGACCCTTGGGGGTATCACAACTTTCTAACTAAATTTTTTTCCTTATCCTTGGATCTGCCACTCTCTAATTCATTCTTTACTGCCCACAAGAGTGGCATCATAGAATTCTAGAATTCCCTTCTTTTTCTTTCTTTCTTTCTTTTTTTTTTTTTTTTTTTTTTGAGACAGAGTCTCACTGTGTAGCCCAGGCTAGAGTGCAGTACTATCATCATAGCTCACTGACTGCAGCTCAAATTCCTGGGCTCAAGCAATCCTCCTGCCTCACCCTCCTGAGTAGCTGGGACTATTGGCACACACCACCATGCCCAGGTAATTTTTCTATTTTTTGTAAAGAATGTGTCTTACTGTGTTGCTCAGGCTGGTCTCAAATTCCTGGCTTCAAATAATCCTCCCACCTCAACCTCCTAAAGTACAGGATTATAGCCAGCGCACCCAGCCAGAATTTCCTCCTTAAACTCTCCAATGGCTCTTTTTTAATCCAACCACTTAAATGGCAAAAAAAAAAAAAGTCTTTTTCTTTTGTTTTTTAATTTATTGGTCACTCATAAACACGTTTCTTACAACTCCTCACACTTCACTCTGTAATCCAGCCAGTTTGGATTTTGTTCAGTTATTCAGAAGTGTCCCTCTAGCCCTCTTGTTTTTTCATTTTCTCTCTCTCTCCCTCTCCCTCACTCCCCTATATATAGAGAGAGATGATAGAGATAGATATAGAGATAAAGCTAAAGGTAAATAGAGATATTTACTGCATATACATACACATATTTTATTTATTTTTATATATAAATATATATTATATTGTCATATTATTATGTATTATATATATTACATATATAGAGATAAATATCCTGTAAGTATAGTGTGCTGCTAAGAGAGGGCTTTGGAGCCAGACTTCTAGGGTTCAAATCCTATGTTTGTCATCCATCACTTCTGTGATCATGGGTAAGCTATTTAGCATTTCTTTGCTTCGGTTTCGGCATCTGTAAAATGAGATGACAGTACCTACCTCTCTGGGTTATTATAAGGAAAAAAAGATCACGCAAAGCTCTTGGAACAGTGCTTGGTATATAAAGGGCTCTTACCTGTGAGCTATTTTTATAATCACCCAAATTATTCCTGGTTAACAAGGTAGATTTAGAAGTCTCAGGTATCTAGTCCTCATACCGACAGGAAGCAGAGGTCCCAATAATTTAGCGTTAGTTAAAATTTCCTTTAGAATATGTTCTTGTTTTTCATTTGATATGCATCTAGGATCTCTCTTAAAAAATATAATGAAGTACATTCAAGATCAAATACAGGAGAATCCATGAAGTTTCTCCAACTTGATCTTTAACTCATTTCCCTCTGCAACTCATCATATGCTGAGAACAAACACGACACTCTTTCCGCCATCTCTGAAGCTGAACTAAACTGGCACCTTCCCAAGCGACCACAGTGCAGGAATGTGCTTAGGTTTCAAAAGCTTCCTTGTTGTATAAAAGTATGAGTAAACAGACAATGTGCATAGCATCAAAGTAAGTGGCTTACTCAATAAAAACCAGGTTAGCCTGGATAAACCATGATGTTGAAAACCAAAAGAGAGATTATGAGAGAGATTGACTGATTCTGTTTCATGTTTATTTACTAATATTTATAAGCTAAAAGTCACCTTCCACCTTGCAGAGACTGAATACCCAGTGGTCCCTAGGTCAACTTATTTGAAGTATGGGGGACCTTCCTCCATGTCCACCTCTGGGGTTAGCACTTAGATGACTGACTCGCTGTCTGTTGCTTCCACCTCACTTTTCTCAGACTGGATTCTCAAAACATCTCTGTTCCTCACTTGATCACAGGCTATAATTTTTCTCTACTCTGATAAACACCTTCACATTCAGTGACTGGGAAGACACTTCAGATGTCAACCCCAAAACCAAGCCCTGCTGAGGAAAATGAATGTCAGGATCACGCTGTTATTAAATTATTCCTCTTCCTCAAAAGTGCAGACTTTCCGCATATCTACCTTTCAACTAAGTCAGAAATGCTCTTCCTTATTGTTTTCTCTGCTATGTGACTTTCCAAATTTGGCTTCAAGAATATACATTCAATTCTCCCCATTATAATTATGAAAAAATTAGCAACACATCCTCCTTGGAATAGAGGGAGAAAAAAATTATCTACATATGCCTATCTTACATTCTCCCTTCTGGCCAAAAGTTAAGGTACAATACGTCTTATTTATGTTGTTAAATTTAGAGCTGAAAAAGAAATTAAATGCAATACATGGGGAGAGTAAAGGGTAATCGAAAAATAAAGGGTTGTGAAATCTGACGCTGGATTCAAGCTCTACTACTTATTAATTTGATGACTTATAGTAAGTCAGCTGAAATCTCTTGAGCCCTGATTTCTACATGTATAAAATAGTAAGGTATTACTTACCTTTCAAGGCTGTTGTAAAGATTAAACCTATACCAATCTCCTAAAATAATGCAAATACCACAGTAGATATTAAAATATGGGTAACTATCACTGTTTTTCAGATCTAGTTTACTCTTCATATTTATGATTCAATAACTCTTAAATGTAACTAATTTGTTCTACTGTAAGTTGGAGGAGGGCAAGTTTGCTATTTATAATCAAGGCTGCTTTCTGGAGAGGATTAATTTGGGTACGTGAAAGGCCCTTTTGTCTGAACATCCTAACAGTTTGGTTTATAAATTTGAAAGTAATAGATAGAGAAAGCTGAATTGAATATTTTTGGAGTTCTAAAATGAAAGGAAGGAAAAGAAATGAGAGAGGGGATCTTGGAAGAGGAGCTCAAGAAAGAGGCTAAAACAGGATGAGGCCACACACCTTATTTTGTTGAGGCTGTGGAATGATATTTTAAGTTGGAGGATGCCAACTGTTATTGCTTGGATATGTGTGCACTACGGCAATAGAAATCTCTCCTCTATCTTCCCCTCAAATCTTCAGGAAAGTCCCCTAAAGCCATAACTGTTATGATGAGTTTAGATGGGTATAACAGAAATAGCATTCAAGAAACACAAGCCTAGAACCAGAGGAGATCCTGAGATCATAAGCAAAATTAAAAAATCAGGAAATATCAACATTGGCAAGAATGTGGAGTAGAGGCCACTCTTCCACACTGCTGGTGCGGGTATAAATTGATCCAGCCATTTTGGAAACTTAACCTAGTAAAGTTTAATATATACATATTCTACAAAGCAGCAATTTGAGTTCCAGGTGTATGCCCTAGAGAAACTCTAGCTCATTTGTATGGGACTCACGCACAAGGATGTTCAAGCCATTTTCATAAGAAAAAATTGGGAACAGCAATAAAAATGCCACCTGAAATAGCATAAATAAATCTCAAAACCATAATTTTGAGTGAAAAAATAAGTAATAGAATATATACTTTATGATTCTATTTATATAAATGGCAAAAGGCAAAGCTAAATCACAAATTTCTATTTAGAGACAAAGACATATATAGAATAAATATTTACCAAAAAATGAGGAAATGATTAATACAAAATATAAGGTAGTGTTTGCCTGGGCTGGGGGCAGTGGGTTCAGATATGACCAGAGAGAAACACAGAGGAGCTAGCAATATTCTATTTCTTAAGGTGGATGGTGGGCACATAAGAGCATTTGTTTTATCAGTTTTTTTCAAACTGCACATATACGTTATCCACATTCTTTTGTATATGTGAAATATTTCACAATTTTAAAATAAAAAGCTTTTTAAATGAGCTGACATTGTGGCAGTATAAGGAGATTACCATTACCAGCCATGGCCAGGGCCTTGAGTTTTAACACCCACACAGGGACAGACAGTGAGGTCTTGGGCCCACATAGAACATGGAATTGAAACTGAGGCATAAAGATATGTCAGCTTAAATGACACAAGTTAAAAAAAGTATCATTGAATGACACAGTGACTTTCAACACAGGTTGAAAGTATCACTGCCCTTTACCAAAGAGCTGAAGAATGTGTATTTTTTTAAGTCCACATAAAACATTTATAAAAATTGACCACATATTAGGCCATAAGTAAATTCTCAACAAATATCAAAAAGTCGACATCATATAAATTATGATCTCTGACAATTCACAGATTAGAAACCAGTAACGTCAATGTAATTAAGTACCTGGAATGTGTAGGAGAGGACATTTCCACTCAGTCTGTAGAAATCCCTTCCATCCCCACTAAACACCTTTCTGCATTGACCACCAAAACTTTTGGTATTGATGACTTTTTTCCTAAACTGGCCAGTGAGGGCGTTGTAACTGTTAGAAGGAGAAGCAGGAGCAGGAAAGAAAAGGCACTTAAAAAATCAGAAATAGCACTTGCTGGGGGAAAAAAAGAAATATTATTAGAGAACTCTAGAAATTCTTAAAATGCATTACAGTTAAGCACTTCTTTGAGAGAGCTCAAATAAGGAGAACAGCATCTTAATGCACACCATGTGTTATCCAGCTTCCCCTACTTGGTATAATAGCTAAAACTAATAGCTCGGAAAACCCAAAATCCTTTCAGCCTAGAACATATTTGGGAAACACGCCGCTTTGTTGTACCTATGGCAACTGCTGCCTTTGAATTGAATCTATAGATAAAGCCAAAACAACTAAGGCTACTCTTCAGGAGAGAGAGTGCTCTACAATGAACTTCAACCAATTGCCTCTTAACATGCTGAACAGTATACTCTTTAAAGTAATTTTACCCTATTTCTCTGTTAAAAAATTTAAAATGTTATAGAAGAGTCATGTCTACCACTCTAAAATAGATTATTTTAAAGACTTGAAACTTTAATTTAAGTCAGATGACACCTAAAAGTCCTTCAGAATTCTTTTTGGAGTGGCAAACAGGGTTTTCCCAACTTCACTTGAAAATAAACGTTCCCCGCAAGTTTAGGCAATTACTTTTCAGCCTGGATATTAAAACACACTCATTTCTCTCTTTTCACCTGTTCTCAGTCTATTGTCTCTTCATTCTCTTGAGTAGCCCCACATTATTAAGTTAGCTTTCTCTCTTTCTTCCTCTCTCTCTCTCCCTCTCTCCCTCTCTCTCCCCACACACATGGTCACCCCCAATAGGGTGACCTACTGTCTAAGTTTCCCTGGGACTGAGGGAATTTTAGTGCTAAAACCAGGACCATCCCAGGACGATGGGTCACTCTACATCTTACCACATGTATCTGCAAAGATACAGGTGCGAATAAAAACAAAATTGTTTCAGGATGTGGAAAGGAGCTCTCAGCTAATGAGAAGTCTTGGCTATTAGATGATTTATCATTAGACTCTGCAAGCCATATGCTAAAACAAAACAAGATTAAAAACTACAACCCACTGGTGTACTCAGGAGGCTGCCCAGCACCTTACCCATTTCCAGTAAGTTCTACATTGGGAGGGGGTTTTTCTACATCACAGGAAGGTTTCCTTTCTGAGTCTTCACATCTGTCTTCATCAGCGCTGTCTTCTTCACAGTCAGAATCCCCATTGCAAACCAATGATCTGCTGATGCACTGACCTGAACACAGGGGAAACCCATGCAGATATGAAAGAGGGAAGAAGGGGATCACCACCCAGGATCCAAAAGGCTTTACCTGCCACCCCCAACACTGCCCTGATACTCTAATGTAAATTTGAGATAAATCCTCAGAGTATCTAGGAAAGGACTAGTGATGATTTTGGTCTGTACTTTGCAGCACACAGAAATGATTCTTAACTCTGGCAGACACAAAATTGAAAATAGGACCTGAATTCAAAATTTTAGGCTCTCTCCCATATCATCAAGTAGTTTATCTAAATCGTAAAATGCCAACTACTGGGAAGATACAGTGACCTCCTGCTCTTCAATTTTCAATTTCTTTTTCTGTTATCACTAATTAAGATGATAAAGTTGAGCTTTTCTTGGTGATTTAGATGTGTAAGCTTTAAGAGCACAGGAACTCAGTCAAAAGGTTAAAACTCAACATTTCCTTAGCAAGACACTCTTCTAGTGTTGGGGTACACACATAAATAAAAATGGCATTTACCAGATTTGTCATATATTTTACAATCAAATGGGAAAGACTATGAAGACATAGATCATTATAACTCAGCAACATAATTTTTATGATAGACATAAGCCCAGAATACCAAGGAAGCACTGGAGGGTACCAGGGGATCCAGCCCTGCCTACTTCTCCAACATCATCTCCAGCCATTCTCCTACTAGCTTCCTATGCTCTGGTCATACTGGACCCCCTGCATCAACAAAAGGCCAGGCTTTCTGTCATCTCCAATGCTCTTGATTTACAATTCTCTCTTCCTAGAAGGGTTTTCCCTACCTATCTCCTACTTGTCCTTCAAGAATCAAATTAAACATTATCTCCTCTTGAAAACCATCCCTACCCCACAGGCTATAATGCATGTTATTCCTCTGTGTCCTTATGTTTTGTGCACAACTGTCCTCATAGTATAGCATGTACCCCATTATACTGTCACTCAATTCAATGAAGCAAACATTTCTTGAGAGTTTATTACATATGTACTAGACACTCCATATGGCAAAATGAAAGAAATATAAACCATGTCATCAGAGTTCACAGTCTATCAAGAGAGACATCCAGCCCAACAAATAATTCAGAGTACAAATGGTACGATATACACATGAAACACAAAGAAGTGATTAATTAGTTAATTAACTAACTGGTTAGTTAATTAGTTCTATCAGTTGGGGATTTAGAGAAGGTTTCTCAAAGGAAATATCATCTGATTTGGATTTTGAAAGTAAAATAGGAGTTTGACAGGTATCATTGAGGAGCGCTTCTAACACGAGGATTATTTATGTACTATTCTGCCCATAAAATTTTGGAATTTTTTTTTTTTTGAGACAGACTCTTGCTCTGTCACCCTTGCTAGGGTATAGTAGCACCATTATAGCTCACTGCAACCTCAAACTGCTAGGCTTAGGCAATTCTCCTGCCTCAGCCTCCCGAGTAGCTGGGACTACAGGTGCACACCACCATGCCCAGCTAATTTTTTCTATTTTTTGTAGAGACAGGGTCTTGCTCTTGCTCAGACTGGTCTCGAGCTCCTGGCCTCAAGTAATCCTCCTGCCTCAGCCTCCCAGAGTGCTAGGATTACAGGCATAAGCCACTGCACCTGGCCAAACTTTAGCATTAATATTTTTGAGGGAAGAGACTGTGTGTTTCATTTTTATATCCACAACCATCATCACTATATTTGGAACATGACAAGAATAATAAATTTTTTACTAAAAGTTGTTGAATTAATCTGGCTACATAAATGCAACATAGACAATAGGTAAAGTAATATTCAATGCCAAAATTTTCAATGTTTTGATTGCCCCATACATAGCAGTGACTGATATTGCTCCTTGATTAGCTAATTAGAGTTATTTTTCTTGTAAACATAATAATTGGGGCAGCAACATTGTTTTTGCCCAATCTTAACGTACATACCAGACTCACCCTGCATCTTCACCAAAAATGCACTGTCAAGAATTGTTTGGGCCTGTCAACAGCCAGAGTTCTATTCAAAGAGGCAAAGAGTATTCTCACCTTTCTTACCAGATGTCTCTCCTTGCATTGGAAAGAATGATAGATGAGTGTGTAATTAATATGCCCACAAAAATCATGCTGATATTTGGAGGAAATTAATTTATAGGGCAATGTAAATTCAGTAAAATTCAACACATATATATCGAGTCAGTTAGACAGATAGCATGAATTTACAGTCTGCATGCTGAGCCTATAAAAAACAAATTACCTGAAAAACACCTGAAACGTTCTCCACATCCCTCCTCTGTTGGACATCCTCTTGTAGGTTCACAGGATTGTGTTTCAAAAGCACTTCCAGTACAAGGCTGGCCCCCATACTGCCCATACACAGCAACAGACCGCCTGCGAGTCTAAACACAAAGCACGTAGTGATTTTTTTTTAGGTAGCTCCAGTTTTCTTTATCAGAGTAATAAAATCTGAGAGAAATTAATACAATTTGAGAAACAATGTCTGGAAAATTGTTCCGGTGTTCTACAGAAGTAAAACCTCAAAATCAATGGGTCCACAGACCCACTTGTCTTTGAGCTCAGTGGCACTTGGGTTATTATTTACAAGGAGCTTCCAACAATGTATTTATTTTCAGGGTTAAAAGCAAAAAGAAAAATTTTTCAGTGAATCCTTAAGAAAGTAACCTGAAAAAGTCAAGCGTAGCTGGGTAGACACATAAGCAAATAGAGTACAACATAGAATGATTAATGTTTTTGCCAAAGCTGTGTACCAAGAGCTAATTAGAAAAGGTGAAATGAATCATGCAGGAGAGAGGGTAAGCGTACTGGGAAGGGGTATTAAGATGAGGCAGAGTTAGGGTAACCTTTAGAAGAATGGTAGCAATTGAATTAAGCTGAACCATAATCCTTTTTCAGAAAGAAAGGCAAGGGAAAACAATTCAGGGGGAAATATATAATATGGAGATCAAATTTACAAAATAGAAACCTACGTAGTTCAAAGGTGAAGCAACATCTACAATGGAATTTTAATAAACAATCAAAAACATTGATCTCTGAAGGGAAAAATATGTGAAAAACAAGCCTCTTGGGGGAAAAGAGCAGTACAGGAAAATTGAGGAAATGCTCAAACCAAATGAGACACTTACAATTAATTTATCCTAAAGTTTATTTAATCCTCATTCAGTATGAAGACATGTATCTAATATTTAAACAAAAAGAAATATCTACAGAATCATTTTCCTCCCCACGGGCAATCAAAGGCGTATCTTTTGGTTCTTCCTGTCCTCACCTCTTCTCTGTTAATAGAAACGAACCTGATCTGAGTTTCCCAAGGATCTAAGCCTTGAGCAAAGATCAACAGGGAAGAGTCAGTGTACAAAACACCAATGTTAGATTTAGTCATCCATCCTAAGTTGGGTTAGAAGTGGGTGTTCCTGGGGACTAGGGGTCACAGTGGTATAATTTGAACTCTGGGCAGGTTGGTATCAGCTGGAGCCTGGCTCTGGTGCCTTTGACTGTGTCTAAACAGAAGAGCCACGAAGGAATGTGAGTGGGGAGTGGAACCCAGTAAAGTTTCTTAATACATTTTTGGTTTCTGTTTTTATTTGATGAAGACGCCTCTCATGTGTAACTAATCAAAGTGCTCTTTTCTGAGGTTCCATTGCACAGATCATGTTGTTTGCATAAGGAATGTTCTCCTTGTCCACATTATCTCGGTGCCCTTGATGGCTGCACACTCTCAGCAGTCTCATTCTCATCTGCCAGATTCTGAGCTTGTGACCCCTTTTTCATTTTCACTTGTCTCCTTATAAATGAAAATTTTGTTTTTATAACCTAGGGATGTATCCATTGCATAATGACGTTCACTCAAAGAAAAAAATTACTTACATGAAAAATATCCTCTATTTCTCCACTTTTATTTAGTGTTCTTTCTTGTTTTTAAATTATAAAACTGTTTTATCTGTTTGGTGTTTCTTTGACTTTTGTCTTGTTATTCATGTACCTCTTTGCCTGTAGTCAGAGTTGTCGTATATTACATTTGCTAGAAAACAAATTCTTCATTTGGGTAACTTGTTTTAAAATATCTTTTATGTAAGTACTAAATAAATGCTTGATGAAAATGACAATAATAATGATGCTTGATGCTTCAAGACAGAAACTATCTTCATATTATAATACAGTTGTTATTTTAATAATTAAAAAATGATTTTTAAATATATATTTTTATCCAAAATGGGCTACTTTAAAAATATTTAACTATTCAAATGTTCAGAAAGTTTAAAACAAAAATTATATTTCTAGGAATTTATCTTCAAAAAATTATGGCAAAAGAGGACAGATATCTATGTATAAAATGTTTGTTAAAGTTTAATTTATACTAACAAAAAATGGAAACAACCTAAATATCAAACAACAAAAAAGTGAATAAATAAGATAGGTATATGCATATAGTGGAATATAATAAGCTGTTACAAGTTATTATGCTGACAGTGTAATGTTATGTTAGAATAGTAAAATATAAAACCATGATCAAATAATTTTATTTTTTAAAATTATAAGCACATAGAGGGAAAATAAGCTGAAAGAATAAATACCAAAACATTGGTATATCTGTTTCTCCTAAATGGTAGAATTCTGAGTAGTACTTTCTTTCTTTATACCTTCTACATTTTTTTCAATGAACATTTTATAATTAGGAAAAAAAATCAGACATTTTTAGAAGTACTTTATAAGATCCAGGTCAAGTCTAATATTTATTTGTATTACTTAGGAATTAAATTTTAAAGCATTGCAAAATGTTTTATTTTTCAAGTCCATGAAGTAAAACAAAGTAACCATTTTGTGAAGTAAAACCAAGAAATCATTTTGCTATTTGTTAGTGTTTGTTTGAAATGAGAAGAAAAGTTGAATCCAGTGAATATAAAACAAATTTTAAATTATCTACAAATTTTATTTCATGTTATTCCTTTTTCTCTAATAGTAAACGAATTAGTGAGTTGTCTTTAACTTTTAGCCTGTGTATATTTCTGGCTCAAAAGTGAGATCTAGAAAAGTCTTTAAAGAAAAATGAATGTAGAAATTACTTTATTACAATATTAATTATTAAACAAGTCATATTTTTCTCCCTTCAAAGTTACTAAAAATTTTCAAGAAACATTAACATCAATTAATGAACATTCAAAAGTTAATACCATCTTGGTCATAGCTAAGCTATTTTTGCATATAAATTTATCACATACAAAGTTTTGTGGGGTCCTACCTGAGTCTTGGTACAGCCATTGCATTCTGACCAAGAGGCATAGGAGTCCCATCGGCAATTGACTGGAGAGGAGGCACTGTTACAGTATCAAATTGTCCATCAGAAATCAGGTAGAAATACAGGTGGGGGACACAAAGAATGGGGAAAATAGTCAAAGATAGTAAAAAATTACTTCAAAATTTTTTCCTAAGAAACACTAGAAGTATCCCAAAATATATAAAAACCATAGGGGGAAAGAGTCATTTTCTTAGAGATTAACATTTACTAAACATCCATTACATACCATGTACTACTAAAACACTAGAGTTGTAGAAATAATAAAAGAGATAGGTCATTGACTATTGATAGAAGGACAGGGACACTGTCCTTTTTTGTATGAACAAATAATCATAATACAATAGATCTAATTTGATAAATTTCATAACAGAAATATATACAATATAATGTGTCATGGAAATGTAGATAAGGAAGCATTCAGAGTTGCGAGGGCAGGTGAGAACATATAGGAGGAAGGTATCATGACCCTTGAAGGGATTCTGAATGATAAGTTGAAGAGTTACCCAGAAACTCTCAACTGAGAGACAAGAAGCTCTAATAAGACCGTATGAGATGTTGGCTAAATAGACAGGAATTTATTTAAATGTCCCTCTGTTCATTTAGGCCATTTCTCAAGCACACAGCCAAGTGGGGCAATTTGAGCTTAAACAGTTCCACTTCAATAAAGCACATACTATCAGCCTCTGTTTGAGTGATAAACAAATAAATCAAGCAAGGATATGTGGGAATGGAGAGCTGACTCTCATTCAACGCTCAACTGCGGCCACGTCACCAAGAGGAGGTCACATTGGTTAATTGTAAGAGATTAAGGAATCCTTGCCTAAAACAATACTCTACAAGGGATAGAGGAACTAGGACTCCTTATTTCTGGATTCTCAGCACAGTCCTAAGCTGGGAGATATCTCAAGTCAAGGTGATTCTTGCATGTCTTAAGACTGTCAGATTACTCTGAAATTAATGAATCCCATTCAGTAGTGCGTGTCTCCTGTGCTTTTGTAGAACCAACCATGCTAACTTGTAGATTTATATGGCATCAATGACCCAAATACCAGAGTATCTTTGACCCTTGGATAATCCGCATGTACTGTTATTTGTCTAGTTTGTGTCCCAGAGAAAAACAGAGGCCCTCCACAAATACGGAGGCTTAAGAGAGGAAGCCTGCTTGGCCTTCCATCCTCTATGTTCCCACAACACCCTGAGCAGCCTCTCTGAGCCCTTAGTGCATTCGTGTTGCAATGGACTGCCTCAAGATCTGAATCACCCAGCAGATTCTTGGTGCCACCTTGCTCTTCTTTGTATTTCTGTTACCTAGCACACCCTCAACACACATTCTGAAAGTTCCCTAAAGTGAACTGACCTGCCTCTGTCCATCAGCCTGACAGTGAAAGTACAACAAGGCTGTGGGTAAATGATGCTGGCTTTTTTCCAGGTCTCAAGAGCCAATAAAACTATTTTCTTCAAAAACTCTCAACCTAATAAATGGGACCTGATCAAATTAAAAAGGTTTTGCACAGCCAAGGAAACTATCATTAGAGCAAATAGACAGCTTATAGAATGGGAGAAAATATTTTCTCTCTACACATCTGATAAAGGGCTGATAACAAGAATCTATCTAGAACTCAAAAAAATCAATAAGAAAAAATCAAACAACCCCATCAATAAATGGGCAAAGGACATGAGCAGAAACTTTTCAAAAGAAGACAGAATAATGGCCAGCAAATGTATAAAAAAATGCTCAACATCTCTAATCATCAGGGAAATGCAAATCAAAACCACAATGAAATATTGCCTAACCCCAGTGAGATTGGCCTTCATCAAAAAATCCCAAAGCAACAAATGCTGGCAAGGATGTGGAGAGAGAGGAACACTCTTACACTGCTGGTGGGACTTCAAATTAGTGCCACCTCTGTGTAAAAGAATTTGGAGATGCCTCAAAGAGCTAAAAATAGAAATACCATTCAATCCACCAATAGCACTATTAGGCATCTACCCAAAGAAACAAAAGACATTCTATAATAAAGACATCTGCACCCGAATGTTTATGGAAGCACAATTCACTATTGCAAGAATGCAGAAACAACCCAATTGCCCATCAATCCATGAGTGAATTAATAAAATATGGAATATGTATACAATGGAATACAACTCAATTATAAGAAACAACGGTAATCTAGCACCTCTTATATTTTCCTGGTTAGAGCTTTAGCCCATCCTCCGAAGTGAGGTGTCACAAGAATAGAAGAATAGGCACCACATGTACTCGCCAT